CCTGGTACACCCGGACCACAGGGACCGACTGACGATAGTCAGCCACCGCGGCCCGGAGCGCTCTCGGGTAGCCTGATGGGATACCGCAATAGCCCAGCATATGTTCATCGCTTTATGGATAATCTTTTGTGTCCCCATAAGAAATACTGCCGCTGCTTCGTCGACGACATCATCATCTTCTCGGACAACTTCCAGGATCACCAGAACCACTTGGTGACAATTTTTAGGCTTTTTGAGGGACGCGGCATTGCCCTCTCTCCGGAGAAGAGCTTTGTGGGGTACCCCAACGTCGAGCTTCTTGGCTTCTATGTCGATGCCCTTGGCCTGACGACCACCGAATCTCGCGTGCAAGGCTTTGGGGACCTGGCATTTCCCGATACCTTAAGTTCCTAGAGACCTATCTGGGAAGTACCAGATTTTTCCGGTCCATGATCGCCTATTATGCCAGGATAGCGCAACCCCTGTATGCAAAGAGTTCAAGCCCCTCGTCGAACACAAGCCTTTTCGCGGTACTAAGTTGGTTTAGAGATGCTCGGCCTGTCGTTTCCGCTAGAGTTTTCTCCGCTTTGTTGGCAACACCTCACGCACCGCTGCCGCCCGCGTCTTCTCTGGCCCCAAGCGCAGTCGCACTAAAGACCCGGCGTCGCCTGACCGAGATGACCGGGCCCTATCTCGACAGCGGACTGGGAAGGTTGGTATCAGGGAGACTCTCGGAGCAAGGGCAGGTTGCGGCCCCCCAGACGCCGAGGCGCGGGGAGGAAGCGATCTAGAAGCTGACGCTTGCTGCCTAGACGTGCTTTTAGGATCTCGGACCATCCTCGGATACAAAACTTACCTCCGACTTGCGGCTCGAAGAGTCGGCCTGCTCGGCTTCTTAAAGCGACGACGCGGGCGGTTGTCAAGCGCTTGTTTTGACTTCGGCCACCTATCCCAACACCGGTCTGCTTTCGATTTGTCGACGTGGTTAGCCGCAGTTGACATCTTTGCCACTCAATTCTCCCAAGTAGGACAGACAGCCTTCACCGGAGGATCCGGTCAGGACGCTAATGCTCGGTCTCGCAGGCGCACCAATTACAAAGTAAACAAACAAACAAGCAACCAACCAAAAAAATGTCGCCCCTCTCGCAATCCCCCCTCCTACAGTGGGCGGCATACGCCTTCGGCGGCATCGTCACGGGCTTCGGTGTCAACGCGATGGTGCGGCCGGCGCACGCGCTGACCTTCTTCGGGTTCGCGCCGCCCAAGGCCCCCTCCGACCGGCGCGTGGTCGACGGGCTGGTGGCCGTCTACGGCGCTCGTGACGTCTTCATGGGCGCCGCCGTCTTCGCCGCCGGCCTCAACGGCCACGCCTCGACCCTTGGCTGGCTGCTGCTCGCGATCGGCGCCGTCGCCGCCGTAGACGGGCTCGTGTGCCGCGCGCACGGCACGGGCTCGAATGGAGCCACTGGGGGTACGCGCCCATGGTGGCTGCCACGGGCGCGCTGCTGCTTGGGGTGTTGGATTGAGGGGTGGGGGGCGGGTGGGGGTGCGATGGTTAGGTGGGGAGATGCGGTTGGTGATTGATTGACTGGGAAGGGTCAACATGGAGGGAGGGCTGCGAATCATAGGCAGGCCCGGGCGGATTAAGTTGCAACCTAATCGCCTGCAGTGTTCGGCCGCAAGATTCTTGCTAGAACTCCTTCCCGCCTTCACCTTGAATCCGCCCATCCATCAACCCAGTCTCGTTTCCTATTAGCTTCTCATCCCGCAATACAGTTATATAATCCCTTTTATTATCGAAGCGGGGACATCCATTGCTACGAGTAACAGCCGTGCCGCAACTCCCTCAGTCCCCCA